TCATCTCTACAATAAATCAAAAAATTAGCCGGGTGTGGTAGCGCGCACCTGTAGTTCTAGCTACTTGGAAGGCTGAGGCAGAAGGATCGCCGGAGCCCAAGAGGTCAAGGCTGTGGTGGCCAGGGGCATGCCACTGCACTCCAGTCTGGGTGACAGAGTGAGACACCAACTAAAAAAAAAAAAATTATTTCCAAAGAAAATTTGAAGATATGAAAAAAGGCTCAAGACATCTGATCAAAAAGAATGACAAAAAATACATACATAATATACCACCATATTAGATGAAAAATTATATATGGAAGACTTAAAAAATAGGGCAAAATATCAACTACTGATTTCCTTAAGGTGGTCAAATTACAAATGATTTTCTGTTTTATACTTATCTATGCTTTTCCAATGTTGTACAATGAAAATTTATTACTTATGTAATCGTAAAACAACCTTGGTAAATATCACTTTTAAAAAAGAAAGAGAGAAGGGGATAAAGTTTTTTCACCATGTGGGGTTTGGCCTCAAGATCCTTGAAGTCGGCCTCCTTCACTCCGGACATGGTTTGGTAATAGTCCAGGTTCTGCCGCATCTCCATGTGCTCAGGATTGCCCACGAAGAAGGTGTGTGCTGCTGCCACAGCTTTCTCCAACTTGTTTATCTAAGATTGAAGCACGACAAGCTAATGCTCACATCCATACTCTGAAGGTGCATGTCCAGATGTGTGGCCCACATAAACAGGAAATCCTGGCCTCCCCAAGCCTTCCATTCAGGGTGCCCTGCCCCTGCCAGGCCCAGAAAACACACCTATGGCAGAAAGTACACACCAAAGATTAGAAACACAGTGCCCTGAGCAGATTTGCTGCTGTTTCCCAATGCAGGCTTAGCTCCAGCAGTCAAAGGCTCTATTTTAAAACAAAGGTCATACTGTAAGGGAGTGCTAGGGAAGACTGACTGCCTAAGTAATATATATGTGTGTTCATGATTCAAATGTAATGACTGGGTTAAAGAAAGTCCAAGGCTTGAAGGCTTAGGGGAAGGGAAGAAAGAGCAGTTAACAATTAGACTGTTCCTAAGAATATTCCTAGAAAATAATTTTTATTCATAATATAAAATCAAGTGTTTTCGAGACATTCAGGGAAAAGGTGAGTGGCTGAAAAATCCTAAGGTCCTTTACTAAACCCAGACATAAGCTCTTCTGACTCAAAGCTCAACAAATGACTATGAAGGCATCTGAAGGGAAAAATATACTACATGCTACAGTAAGGCCCACAGCAATGGACTCCAGCATATGCAAATAACACAGGTTCATAAGTAGAATCCAACAAAATAAATCACCGATTATCTAGGGATTAATTAACACCATGCAGAGCAACAGCAAATCTAGGTCTAATGACTCATTTGCTGGCTTTAGACAAGTTACTTAAAGCTTATTCTCTAAACTCAGTGCCCTAATCTGGCATCTGGAGATAGCACTCACTAGCTACCTCACAGGGTTGTTGGGAGAGTTATATGAGATATATATATATATATATGCAGTTTCTAACACATGGTACTGGGCACATATTAAGTGCTCAATTAAGGCCAGGCATGGTGGCTTACACCTAAAATCCCAGCACTTCAGGAGGCCAAGGCGAGAGGACTGCCTGAGCCCAGGGGTTCAAGACCAGCCTGGGAAACTCAGCGAGACCTTGTCTCTACAATAAATCCAAAAATTAGCCAAGGGTGGCAGAGCGCACCTGTAGTTCCAGCTACTTGGAAAGTGGAAGCAGAAGGATTGCCTGAGCCCAGCAGGTCGAGACTGGTGTGGCTGTGAGTATGCCACTGCATTCCAACCTGGGCGACAGAGTGAGACTCCAACTCAAAAAAGAAAAAAAAGTGCTCAATAAATGTTAGTGGTATGATTGACATGTTAAGAAGCATTTTTTTTCTTATCATTGGTACTAGTAAAGAAGTCACCCCTGGTAGGAAGACCCAAGGTAAATAATTCCCTATCTCTGTGCCTCAGTTTCGTTCTCGGGCTCTTCTCTTCCCTCCCCAACTCCAGCCTTCTTTAGTCCTTAAGCACGGAGACACCTAACCATCTTCTCTCTTGTGGACAAATGCCCACATCTCCTAATCCTGTTCCCTGACACTTTCTCCTTCCAAGGCTTATTCAGAATGGCTTCTACAACATGCATTCTAAAACCCAAATCTGAGGACAGCTCCCTGAAGACTACAGAATTCTCTTCTTAATCTAGCCTCACTTTTCTAGCTTCCTCTCCTGTTGCTCCTGACACACATTCTCACACCCCAATCACAATTGACTCTTTCCCTAAATGCATCATGCTTTGGTTCTCATCCTTCCTCTCTCCCTAGCAGTATTTAGGATAGCCTTCAATGTCATCTTTTTTTGAGTCAGAGTCTCCCTCGTCACCTAGGCTGGAGTGCAAGGGCACACTTACAGCCACTGTAATCTTGACCTGCTAGGGTCAGGTGATCCTCCCGCCTCAGCCTTCCAAATAGCTGGAACTACAGGGGAACACCACCACGTCCCGTTAATTTTTTTGATTTATTGTATAGACAAGTCTCGCCATGTTGCCCAGGCTGGTCTCAAACTCCTGGGCTCAGGCAATCCTCTTGCTTTGGCCTTCCAGAGTGCTGGGATTACAGGCGTGAGCCACCGTGCTCAGCCAATGTCACTTCTTTGAAGTCTCTCTAATTTCTCTGAGACAAAGCTAGATTCTCCCTCCCTTGTGCTCCCACAGCCCTGTGTACATGCCCTGGTAGTAGCCCTTATGACAATGATTCTTAACAACAAAGCAAGACAAAGCAAAGAAAAAGTCAAAGCATTTTAACTATGTACAATAAATGGAATGTGTAGGTATTCAATAAATGTTTGTCAAATAATTTTAGGAAGCACTATGAAGTGACATGACCAAGGACGCCCAATTACGTTGATTACAGGCCCGATACTCTTCTGAGTAACTAGGAGGAATGAAGGGGAATAAATATTCTAAATATTGCTAGGGAGAGAAGAGGATGAGAACCAAAGCATGATGCATTTAGGGAAAGAGTCAATTGTGATTGGGGCATCAGAATGTGTGTCAGGGAGTCACGTAGCTCCGGTTCCCGAGCAGCGGCAGCGGTGCGTGCGTCTTTGCTTCTGCCCGGCTCCCGCCGTTCATGCCGATGTTCGTCGTGAACACCAACGTGCCTCGCGCCTCCGTGCCGGACGGGTTCCTTTCCGAGCTCACCCAGCAGCTGGCACAGGCCACGGGCAAGCCGCCCCAGTACATCGCGGTGCACGTGGTCCCGGATCCGCTCATGGCCTTCGGTGGCTCCAGCGAGCCGTGCGCGCTCTGCAGCCTGCACAGCATCGGCAAGATGCGAGGCGCACAGAACCGCTCCTACAGTAAGCTGCCATGCGGCCTACTGGCCGAGCGCCTGCGCATCAGCCCGGACAGGGTCTACATCAACTACGACGACACGAATGCGGCCAACGTGGGCCGGAACAACTCCACCCTCGCCTGAACGCCGCCCCGCCCGCCCTGGCGCCGCCCTGGTCCCGCCGCAGGCAGCCTTGTGCCTACCTGCCTCCAGCCACACCCTCCCCAGCTCCCGGCCTGAAGAAATAAACGGTTTAGAGACCAAAAAACAAACAACAAACAAACAAAAAAGAATGTGTGTCAGAAGCAGGAGAGGAGGCTAGAAAGAAAGTGAGGCTAGAGTCAAATCTGAGGTGGTTCCCAAGAGTCTCTAAGCCTCTCTTCAGATTGAACGGAAGGTCTGTTAAACTATAGAATAGATACTCAGCACAGCTCCTTCTTTTTTCCTCCCCTAAATAAAATGCGAGTAACCATAGCATTTACCTCAAAAGATATTGTGCGGATCAGGACAAATGAGCTAAAAAACAACAACAAAAATGCAAACCGCAAAGTGCTTAAATCAGTGCCTGGAAGTATACGCTACTCTATCATCATCATCATCATCACCATCACCAAAACCACACATGCCTGGAGTGCTCCAAGTTCATTTGTACACTTCGACATATGGCAGTCTGGCATTCCTAAAAATATATGTTTTCTTTGGAAACCTTATAGACTAGCCAGAGGGTCCCCCACGGGGAGGGCCAGAGTGTCCCTACTGGCGACGTGGCAATCCCGCGTCCAATGGCACTTTTCCAGCCGCAGGAAAAGTGCCATTGGAAAGCAAACCGGAAGGAAGACACAGTAGACCGTCCTAGCGTCTCACCAGGACACTGACAATGAAATCAGAATGGGAAACCCAAGTTGCCACTTGAATTCCCTCAAGGAGCCCTTCGGAGGAATAAAACGGCCATGCGTTTTACTTGGCGTGGCCCCTAACCCCAGCCTGGACCTCTGGAGTTAGCATCTGCCCAGGCGAGCAGGGCGAGGCAGGTCTCCCGGCAGGATCCCCGCTCTCTCGGGGTCCAAGGAGAGCGCCCCAGCTAGGACGCCATTCTCCCCTCTCTGCGGACACTTCTAGAAGCTCCCCGGGTCGCCTGCACACACTCCTTTCCCCGAGAACCCCGGCGGCCCGACTCCGGGCAGGTCTGCACCTTGAAGTAGGCGACCTGCAGATAGTTGTACGGGCTTCGCTTGCGAAACTCCAGCTCCACGTCTTCGCTGAGCGAGGGGGCGGCCGGCTGCCCGAGGCAACGGCGCAGGCAGGCGGCGCGGCGCAGCAGGCCCCCGAAGAAGCGCAGGTCGTGCAAGGCGGCGGCGCCCGAGGCCTGGGTCAGGCTCGGGGGCGCGCCGGAGTCCAGCTCCCACGGGAGGTCGGCAGCGCAGTGGGTGCGGCAGCGCAGGCGAAGGGCGCGCAGGGCGGCCCGGGAGCGCAGCGCCCGCTCCATGCTAAGGACCACCCCGGCCCAGTCCCCGCGCGCGTAGGCCGCGGTCCCCTCGGCGAAGAGCAGATCAGGAGCCACCATGTCCCATTCGGCCTCGGACTCGACCTCGGCCCCGGAGGAAGCGGCGGCGACAGCCAGCAGTGAGGTCAGCAGCTTCAACGCGCGTGCCGCCATCCCCTCCTCAGACTTAACGGGACCGCTTGCCACCCGCCACGGAGGCCGGAGTCCCACCTCCGGAGAAGCCCCGCCCCCGGGTGAAGCTCCACCTCCCGAGTCGGGCTGCGCATGCTCAGGAGGCTTGTACTGCCTCTTTCGCTTTCAACCAATTCGAACCCTGCCCCTGTGCGGGAAACCTGTGCGACAGTCGGAGCCACGCCTTCGAACTCTGGGTGTGCTCAGTAGCTCTCATGCCCATTGGCCAAGGAATACGGAAGCTCCGCCCACGCACCTTTGTGCGCACGCTCTGGAGACTCGCACTGCCAAGGTATTGGGGGGAATCAGGCGCTGTCATGGAGGACGCGGCAACATCGGGGCAGACGGAGGGCGCCCCGGAAAGTCTAGAAGTGCAGTCGGCGGCAGGTCAGGGTGGTATACAGGGCGGGAGTCAACCGGGGGAAGGAAGTCCTCGCGAGGCACCTCGTCTCCGGGGCTCCGCGGGAGGCCGAGGGCGGGAGCTCACGGCCTGTGTTCCTGGGTGTGTGTCGCAGGAGCCCTGGTGGAGTTTACCCCGAGCCCCGGCGGCCTGTCCCTGGTGAGCCCCTACCACGCCTGCCGGGTCGGGGACCCCTTAGACCTCGTGGGGCTCGCACAGCAGGTGCAGAAGGTGAGGAGACGCGACTCGGAAAGTGAATAACCATCTTTGTCTACGTTTTGCTTTGCGTCTTCTGGCTCCGAACTCACAACCAGTTTGTGTGTGTGTGTGTGTGTGTGTGTGTGTAGGGGGTTAGTGTGTGTGTGTGTGTGTGTGTGTGTGTGTGTGTAGGGGGTTAGCATTTGTTCTTGTCTCCATTTAACAGACGAGGAAAGCCGACTGTCATTGCGAGTCGGTGGCCTGTGTGTGTGTGTAGGTGTGTGTGTGTGTGTGTAGGGGGTTAGCATTTGTTCTTGTCTCCATTTTACAGACGAGGAAAGCCGACTGTCATTGCGAGTCGGTGGCCTGACTCGATCTCTTATTCTGAGATCAGAGTCTCCTTCAAGTGCAACTTGAGTGACCATAATATCCCTTCGTGGGAAGGTTTGCACAGCGCTTCCAATGTACTTTACTTCATTTGCTCTTTAGGACAGCCTTGTAAGGTAGGCAGTACAGAAATTATTCTTCCTATTTAACACGTGAAGGTGTTTCTGGGGAAATTTCAAGATCACTCTAACCCAAATTCTTTAGAGATACTTACTCCACTTATTTTAAACTGCTTTCCATAAGATCTTTATTTGTTACCGAGAGCATGTGGAATTTAACTAGACATCTAGGAGGGCAAGGTCTAAGTTTTGTCCAGTGTCCTCATCCACTGGGCACAGGATTCCCAAGTTCAGTGCTTAAGCATGGATTGCCAAAATAAGTGATATAAGGAGAAAATGTGAAATCATGGGAAAAGCACTGGAAGTTTGGACACATGAATATTAATCCCATGTTTGATATTAATTTGCAGGCAGATTACTTCTCTCTGGTCTTCACCTTTATCTTTAAAATGAAGGGCTTGAAGTAGGAGAGCTCCTGCATCTAAAGCTCTGACATTTTTCAGTGAAAAACCAAATATGTTCTTATCTCTTACCAAGTCCTCCAACTGTAGAACCCTCTTCAGATGTAGAGCCCTGCTGCTTTAAAGCTTATGATATCCACTTATCCTTGTGTATGCTATCAGATTTGGCCTTGATTACGTTCAAAGGTCTTTGTTTTACTCAAAAATATTTAATAATGTGCTCAAATTCCCTCACATGAACATCTCTTTTTTTTTTAATTAAGAAAAATTCAAATACTTAATTTAAAACCTATGCCTTCTTTTTAGAGAACTGGGGAGCAAAGTACAATTTTCCTGGGTTAGGAGACTATCATGTATCTTTCTAATCAGATCACTCTTAGTGGGAGGCAGGCTGCCAGGGACAAAATCTTGAGCAAACAACATATTCGTATGTTACTGAGTGACTACCGTGTTTATACAATGATCTGAACCAAAGAAAGAAGGAACATAGCTTTTGTCTTTTATCCTATAATCTAGTGAAATATAGAGGATGCATTATTATGCTGCCTCCTTTTCTCCAACATAATCAATCTTTGAGAAGCTGAAGAAAAAGCATTCCGGAGACAAACTGAATCAAGTGTAAATATTAAATACTCTCTGAAATGTACTTTTTAGCAGAAGTGACCACTGAAATTTCGCTTAGGTATTAGTGTGTGTTCAGAAAGCTCAGGAGGCCTGGCATTAAGGAATGCATTTTTTGAATCAGACTGATTTGTGTTCACATCCTTCAACTGCCATTTATTAACTGTGAATACTTGGACAGGTTGCCTCACCTCTTGAGTCTTAATTCTTTTTTTTTTGAGTTGGAGTCTCACTCTGTCGCCCAGACTGGAGTGCAGTGGCCGCTTCCAGCCACTGCAGCCTCGGCCTGCTGGGCTCCGGCGAGCCTTCCGCCTCAGCCTTCCAAGTAGCCGGAATTACAGGCATGTGCTACCACCCCGGCTGATTTTTTGATTTGTTGTAGAGATGAGGTCTCGCTGCCCAGGTGGGTCTCGAACCCGCGGGCTCAGGCAATCCACTCCCCTCAGCCTCCCAAAGGCGCGGGATTACAGGCTGAGCCACCGAACCCGGCTTGAGTCTTAATTCTTAGGATGAGAAAGTGAGGTTATCATCTCCAGCTTGATAAAGATGTTGTGAGAAGTACATGAGATAAATGTAAAGGGTCTCAGAGAGGTTGGGGCCATAGTTAGTGCTTAGTAATTGTAGGTATCCTTCTCTTCCTTTCTTTTTTTAAACTAAGCTCTTGTTTACAAGGAACAAAGTTATTGCCACCACCTGAAGATCATGAAGATTTATAAGACCACCCCTAACCTGGAACTACCCTAGCTCTAGAAACACCTACTCTCTCATTGGCCATACGTCTCCTGCTCCTTTCATTTGTCCTTTGAACAAAATGCAAATTCTTTTACTATAGGCTACAAGGCCCTGTATAATCTGGACTCTGCCCTCTCTTTTAAGCTCACTCTGTACATTTCTTCTCACTAACTATTCTTCAACTGCATTGGCCTCAGAAATTCCTGGAAGCTTTTTTCCAGCTTTTTGCATGGCAGGGCTTTTCCTTCCCTGTAGAACCAAGTCAAATGCCACTTCTTAGTGAGACCTTTTTGTCTGAAGAAGGCCATACCTCATTTGACCCAAATGACAGTATTAGTAAATTGAATTTGAATACCTCTAGGCTACATAGGTATTCCAATTGGTGCAGTCTTCACCACTCTGTATTATTAAACCACCTACTTCATTTATTTTTAACCTGCTTTTACCACATAAGTGTGGTTTTTTCCCTTTTATAATAGGGTATAATTATTTTGAGTACATATAATACTAGCTTTTAAAAAATTCTTTATTTTTTGGTATCGGCATTACCAGAGTTGTGCTGTGAAATATGGTAGCCACTAGCCACATTTTTCTGTTGAGCATTTGGATTGTGTGGTTAATATGATTGAGGAGTGGAATTTTAAATTCTATTTGATTTTATTTAGTTTGAATTAAAAATTTGATAATTAGTTCAGTTATTGGAACTCAGGTATATTGAAAGAATTTAAGTATGTGAATCAACTTTTTCAACTATAAATTTTATGAAATCTAAATACAGATCAAGTATTTCTGATGAAAATTTAGCTTCCAAATTCAGCTGTGAGTATAAAATAAACATTGCATTTTGAAGACAATATAACATGTAAAATATCTCAGTAACAATTTTTAAAATGTTGATTATGTGTTGAAATGAAAATGTTTTTGATATATTGGGTTAAATAAAATATATTTTAGAATTAATTTTACCTATTAATATTTATTTTTACAATTAACATGGCTATTAGAAAATTTAAAATTTTTTATGTGACTTGATTCATATTTCTCTTGGACTGTATTAGACTGTCATCTTGATGAAGGCAGGGACTTCTCTTTCCTGTTTGCCAGTGCCTACTCTGGTGTCTGATACATAGTAGTTGCTTAATGCATTTTTGTGGGATGGACATGATTGTTTCAGCTTACTTATATAGGTTTCTGTTTTCTCATTACACTGGCTTATACCTGAATTTTACCTTAATATTTCTTAATTCAAGTTCAATTTCCTAATTTTTTTTATTAATTGTGTACTATTGGAAGTTAATCAGCTTTTCTTAGAAGTAAGCTGGACATTTTTGACAGACTTCTGATGCCTAAGTGGTAGTCCTTCTCAGCACATGAACTGGTTACTCTAGGTTCTCCTAGCTTTGAGAATTATTTGATCTATTTAAGCTATTTCTGTTGCCTCCCGCGGGTGCAGTTGCACATGACAGGCAATCTTCAGTACGTTGTAACTTTGTCTCAGGTCTACATCATAGTGCAGTCTTTTGAAATGCATTTTTTTTTTTTTTTTGAGTTGGAGTCTCACTCTGTTGCCCAGACTGGAGCACAGTGGCTGCTCCCGGCCACCGCAGCCTCGACCTGCTGGGCTCCAGCGATCCTTCCGCCTCAGCCTTCCAAGTAGCTGGAACTACAGGCACACACTACCACGCCCGGCTAATTTTTTTTTTTATTTATTGTAGAGATGAGGTCTCTCCAAGTTGCCCAGGCGGGTCTCGAACCCTCAGGCTCAGGCAATCCACTCACTTCAGCCTCCCAAAGCTCGGGATTACAGACTGAGCCACCAAGCCTGGCTTGAAATACATTTTAAGTAACAATTAGGAATGCAAATATAAGTTAAAATTTAAGTAGTTGTGATATTAATAATTCAGCTGATTAATTGATTAACAGATACTTTCTACATGTAGCTAGGTTCATACATGAACAGATGATAAGGGCCATGTCTTTTGATTTTCATTGTAAGACCCATCCCTGATTTCAGAAGTGTTTAAACATGAGAAAATAAGTGGGAGACTTGAGAAATACATGGTGTAAGTCAGGTAAAGAGCAAGGGGAAAATGGATTAGATGGAGGAGAGGGCATATTCAATGTATTTGGTAGCATATTGGAGATCCAAAGAAGTTCAGTGTGGCTGGAATTCGGAGTAAAAGGGTGGAAGCTATGGGAAGTAAACAAGAAGGAGCACTTAATTCTGTGGTGCGGGGTTATGTCTTCGTGGGCTTCTCATAAGCAGTGCTACTTGAGTTGGGACCTTGGGATGAGTGAGCGTTTATGGGGCAGTGGGGAGAATGGGTAGAATATTTTAGGCACAAGCAAAGATGTTAACATAACTCTCTACATTGGGATCCAAATAAGAACATCATGGAAGTCTTTTCCTCTTTAACCCCACAGTTCCATTTTCTCTCACCTGCAGGCTGATGAATTCATACGAGCAAATGCCACCAACAAGCTGACAGTCATAGCCGAGCAAATCCAATATTTGCAAGAACAAGCCAGGAAGGTAAGGAATTACTTTTAGGCAGGTATTCTTTTTTTTCATTTAGTTAACAAGATTGGCTGACCTTGCATATAATCATTGTAACTTGTCTTCAGTACCTCTTAGAAATGTAGGGGTGTTGAGCAAAATAGAAGGAATAAGCCTAAGAGGTTAAGTATAAGTTTTTTGTTTTTTGTTTTAAACCAAAAGAATGTTCAGTGAGGTAAAATACTTTAAGGGAGAAAAATATTTTCTTCTGGTCAGGCACAGTGGCTCACGCCTATAATCCCAGCACTTTAGGAGGCTAAGGTGAGAGGATTACCTGAGCCCACGGGTTTGAGACCAGCTTGGGCAACTTGGTGAGACCTCATCTCTACAATAAATCAAAAAATTAGCCAGGCATGGTGGCATGTGCCTGTAGTTCCAGCTACTTGGAAGGCTGAGGCGGAAGGATCACCTGAACCCAGCAGGTTGAGGCTGTGGTGGCTGTGAGCATGCCACTGCACTCCAGCCTAGGCAGTGGAGTAAGACTCCAACTCAAAAAAAATTTTTTTCTATTTTATGGAGGAAAAGTACTTACCACAGAAAAATAGGAAAGAAACTTTAAAACCACCCAAAGCCAGCAATGCTCTACATATAGAAATACAATTCTTCTAAAGGCATTTTTACAGCATAGTAGTATAGTCTAAGTTTTGTTTCTTCAGAATAATCTGGATTTTCAGTAGTGATTCATTGCTATGAAAGACCAAGATCCTAAGCATTGAACAATTTCTTTTTTTTTTTTTTTTTTTTTAGAGACAGGGTGCTGGAGTGCAGTGGCACAATCATAGCTCATTTTAGCCTTGAATTCCTGGGCTCAAGTATTCTTCCCACCTCAGCCTCCTGAGTAGCTAGGATTACAGGTGTGTGCCACCATGCTCAGCTAATTTAAAAAAAATTTTTTTTGTATAGACAAGGTCTCTCTATGTTGCCCGAACTGGTCTTGAACTCCTCAAGCAGTCCTCCCACCTCAGCCTCCCAGAGTGCTGGGATTACAGGAGTGAGCCAGCAAACTCAGCCAATTTCTCAATTTTAATTGAGCTGATCATCAAATACGGGTACCCGTTACCTCCTGTACCTAATTTGTTGCATCTCTGTGGTTCATAGGTACTGGAAGATGCTCGCAGAGATGCCAACTTGCACCATGTAGCATGTAATATAGTGAAAACACCTGGCCACATTTACTACCTTTATAAACGGGAGAGTGGTCAGCAGTATTTTTCCATTATTTCTCCAAAGGTAAGATCACTTATTCTACTCTAGCCTTTGAGAAATTCTTGGCATGTGTGTGTCAAAATGTAGATGTGCATTTTGGTTTCCTAGAACATTGAGGATGATGTGAGCCCAATATGACTCTAAAAAATATACAAGTACTTAAATTATTTCACTCATTATCTGTTAATGGACGGATCTGGTGTGTGATGTACTGCTTGGTTCTGACTAGTGTGAAGTGAAAAGCCCAAACAGAAATTGTGGTATAAGTAGCAAATGAGCTCATTTTGTACACAACTCACACTGATCAGAACGGACTCCTTTGCCTTCTCTAGGAATGGGGGACAAGTTGTCCACATGACTTCCTTGGTGCCTACAAGCTACAGCATGACTTGTCCTGGGCTCCATATGAGGAAATAGAGGAGCAAGATGCTCAAATCAGCATAATGGACAAGTTGCTGAGCCAGCAAGTGACCCTGCCTCATCCACTGAACCCAACTTCCAGGGACTGACTCACTGAGAGTGGGCTCTGACAGCTCTCACAACAAGAACCTGGCTGTCACCTTATCGCCCTCATTGTTGCCTATATGGGAGGTGTCATGAGAATTGAGGGTGAATCACCGAACTTCTTGGAAGGAGACACTGTGACTATAAATGTGGTTGTTACTACTTTTAGTTTGGACGATAATGAATCATCACATCACTCTCTTTGGGGATCATCTCTGGGACACAGATACCTAACCAGGCAGTTTCAGAATACTGGCCAGTGTACTTTTCTTCATCTCCATCTGTTCTTTCCTTATAAAGCATTAGAGAAAGAAGAGTTTCTGTTTTCCACAAAAAGCTTGGTGGATCATATTCCAAAGAGGACTGTTTTCATTCTTTTTACAACTGGAAGTGTTTAAGAGTGGGTTTGAGGCTGTCTCACAGTTGGTGCAGCCAGCTTCAAATTCATCTGGGAACAAGAATGTTGGATAATGAAGGATGATTTAAAAAGAAAAAAAAAAACTTGGCTGGACAGAAAGTTTGTGCTTCTGGAGTTTCTGTGCTATTGATGAGATTTGTCTTGCCCCTTCTGCTCTTTCTGCCTCACTAGAGTGACTAGAGAATCTGAGGCAGTAGCAAAGGCCAGGTTTGGCGAGGGACAGCTTCAAAACTCAAGAATTTTAGACTTGGAAGAGACGGTAAAGGCTGCCACTAATCATATGAATCCACTCTGTAGTCTCCGAGGAGGAGATCCTGAACTCACTTACCTGAAGCAGAACTAACCCATTAAAATGGCAACTTAAAAACATTGTGAAAGGAAGTAGGACGGTGGAAGTGAGAAACAAAAACTGCCAAATTATTGATTGAGTTAACTCAGACTGAAACTCATTTTGACCAAAATTATTCAAGAACATAATGGGCTTTAGGCTAAATTACTCTACTTCTTATTCTGACAGGGCTCTTTTAGGATTCTACCTTATTACCTCTCTGTTCAGCAGAATTAACTACATTTATAGCATATCCAGCATGGCTGTACTTCCCTCAGTGCCATATAATCTATGGCACTATGCTATAAATGGAGTGACAGATGTGTACTTGAGCCCACAATTGACCAAGTTTCTTTCTGGGGATGGATGTTCCTCATGCTGATCAGATTGGTAATACCCTAACTCCATCCTGGTGTTCATGGCCTTTCCCTATAAGCTGCGTTCCTTGTGAGCTGTAAATGGTCCACCTAAGGCCTAGCACAGTATAGTGCTAGAATCTAACAAGGTCACACAGGTGGATACCTGGTCTCTCAGTTCACATGGGGATGTTTTGTGGAATCAACTGCAAAAGCCTCTTGCTGGGGTGCTGCAGAGCTGGAGGGAAGAGACATTAGTGGTACAGTTGATTCTGACTACAGGAAGTTTTCCAGGTTTTCAGAAGGTTCTGGCCTGCATGACGATGACACTTTTTTTTTTTTTTGAGTTGGAGTCTCACACTGTCGGCCAGACTGGAGTGCAGTGGCTGCTCCCGGCCACCGCAGCCTCAACCTGCTGGGCTCCGGCAATCCTTCCGCCTCAGCCTTCCAAGTAGCAAGAATTACAGGCGTGCTACCACGCCTGGCTAATTTTTTGATTTTTATTGTAGAGATGAAGTCTCGCCTGCCCAGGCGGGTCTCGAACCCATGGGCTCAGACGATCCACTCACCTCAGCCTCCCAAAGGCACAGGATTACAGGCTGAGCCACCGAGCCTGGTTTCACTTTTTTTTTTTTGAGTTGGAGTCTCACTCTGTCGCCCAGGCTGGAGTGCAGTAGCACACTCACAGCCACCCCAGCATCAACCTGCTGGGCTCCGGTGATCCTTCCACTTCAGCCTTCCAAGTAGCCGTAACTACAGGTGCCTGCTACCATGCTGGTTAATTTTTTATTTATTGTAGAGATGAGGCCTCGCCAAGTTGCTGGGCTGGTCTTGAACCCACGGGCTCAGGCAATCCACTCGCCTTGGCCTCCTGAAGTACTGGGATTACAGGCTGAGCCACTGAGCCCGGCCTGGGATGACACATTTTGAATAGATACTTTATTATCAAATATACAAATTACCCTAGACTTAGTGGCTTAAAATAACACATTTATTATTTCATAGTTTCTATAGGTAGAAATATAAGCACAATTGCTCTGGGTCCTCTGCTTCAGGGTGTCTAGGAAGCCTGCAAGGCTGCAGTGAAGTTAGTGGTGAGGCTGGATTCTCAACTGAAGCTTGACTGGGCAGCAATGTGCTTCCAGGATAACATATATCATTGGCAGAATTTCAGTTCCTCCAGGGCTGCTGTCCTGAGGGGCTGCATTCCCCAGCCATTAGCCGGAGGATGCCCTCAGTTCTTTGCCACATGAGCCTAGCAACATGGCAACTTTCTGTGTCAAAGTGAACAAGGATAAGAATCTGCTAGCAGGAAGTAAATTACGGTCTTATATAGTCCAATCATAGGAGTAGTGACATCATTTTTGCCATATACTGTTGATTAGAAACAAGTCACAGCAACCTCTTTGGGTTCCCTCTCACTGTGGGAGCTTTTCTGTTCTCAATAAATCCTGCTTTCTCACCTTCAAAAAAGCAAGTCACGAGGCCACTCCCTACCTGAAAGCTTTTTTTCTTCTTTTGTTTGGAATATTGTCTGCTTTTCTCCTATTTCACTGACTGCACCTTCTCTGTCTCCTAACCCTCTTCTTCCCAACACCTACCTCTAGGGCCAAGTCCTTGACCCTCTCCTCCTTGGCTCTCCTAGGTGATCTCATCCATTCCCAAGGCTTTATTTATTTATTTTTTTAACTGTTTTTCTCTTTTATTACATAATGAAACATAAAAACTGACAGAAACTAGTTAGTATATTTTGGCTTATAAAACAAACCAGTTTAGAGTGAGTCTGAAGACAAATACCTTGAAGTGTTATTCTTCCTCCTTAACTTTTCCACCATCTGCTACCAAAACCAAAGCAAACCAAACACCAAAACACATCTATCCACTACTTAAAACATAATTCAAATATTAACAACTAACATTAATAAGCATTTACTATGTGGCAGGCAGTGTCTGAAGTAACAGACGGGAAGCCAGCATTTAAACTCCGGCAACCTGAATCCAAAGCCCTTACTCTATTTTATCAGTTTATAAACTGTAATAGTTACCATCTTTAGAACTCTATCTTCATCCCATATGTCCTTCCAACACTTCCATTTCTTTCTGCTACCTCAAATAAGTAAAACTTTCTTCAGCTCTTATCTTCTCATTAGTAAATAAGAATCCCATTTTTTAATGGCTCAAGCCCAAAACACTGTAGTAATCCATGACTCATCACTATCTCTTACTTGCAACATCCTAATCCACTGGCAAATACTCTTGGTCCCATCTTTCAAATATCCAATTTGCCCATGTCTCAACTCATATGCTCCCTTTTCGGTTAGGTATTCCTTGTCTAGTCTAAATAGCAATAACCTCGTTTCTATTTTGTTTCTTCATAGCATTAATCTAATATTCCTTCTATATATATATATTTTTTAATCCTGTGGTTACCTTTATCCCCTCACTCATATCCCATAGAATGTAATCTTCACAGGGGTAGGAAATTGGTCTCTCTTGTTCAATACTACAGTAATGATCAGAATGTAGTAGGTGCTCAATAAATATTTGTTGAATTTAAGATATTTCTACCAGGCCAGGCTTGGTGGCTCAGCCTATAATCCCAGCACTTTGGGAGGTCAAGGTGAGTGGATTGCCTGAGCCCACTCAGTTCGGGTTTGAGACCTGCCTGGGCAACTTGGCGAGACCTCGTCTCTACAATAAAAAAGTTAGCTGGGTGTGGTAGCATGTGCCTGTAGTTCCCACTACTTGGAAGGCTGAGGCGGAAGGATCGCTGGAGCCCAGCAGGTCGAGGCTGCGGTAGCCGGAAGCGTGCCACTGCACTCTAGTCTGGGCGACAGAGTGAGACTCCAACTCAAAAAAAAACCAAGAAGATATTTCTACCAAATAGAAATGTACATTACATATAATTCATCAAGTTGAAAACCACAATCAGAAAAATAAGCTAATAAATAAAAGGCAAATAAGAGTTTTTGAAACCCAATCCTTTAAATACAAGATCACATTTACAGTTTCAAGATCTTCACATTTCTGCAAGCAACATTCACAATATCCTTCTTTTTCTTTCAACTGGAGTTGAACTGGGGTTCCACCATCCGTTTGAATTCTTAGTTTAACCTGAGTTTGCTTCTGGATGCTTGATGGCTTGTGTACATCAAATGAACTACAGGGCTTCTGAATAGAATAATTTTTAAAAGGCATATTGGTCAACTGAAGATAAAATGGCCTATAAAGTTGGTTCATATCTTCCACCTTTACAAAAGGCTTTTTGAGTCTTCCTGTTCTTGTTTTTTGTACACCAATACCAACTTTTCTCCCCACATCTCTTACAGAAGTAGTTGATTTCTTGAGTAAATGCAATTCTTTTTTCTTTTGTTCAGTGTTGTATCTAATGTCATCAATATGAAGAATTTTTACTCCCCATGACAAGGCATTTGATAATATACTATTTGAAGAAATAAAATCATGGTCCTTGATAGCTTTTTCAACTAATAATTTTCCTCTGCTTAAACACACTGTGTCTGGTGACTTAAAGGCACTTCCATCATGGCTGGGATGAGGTGAAGTGGTTTCTGCAGAATTCTGGACTTAGTACAGGAGAAATCCAACCCAATGTTTGTGCAAATTTAGCTTCCTTTTTATTTGAAATAAGATAACTGATATCTTTGCTGAGAAATTCTTCAACTTGCCATCCTAGATCCTTAATATTCTTTTGCAATTTTTCAGATATGGTGACAGAAGGTAAGTCAGGGTAAAACACTTTTCCCCAAAGTGGCTTATATTTGGATTTTTCTGGTCTATTATCGGTTTTCAGAGATTTCAAAGATGGTCTGTTTTTTTTCATTTCTGACTTGTATTCCACCCTGGAAATGTCCTTTGCTGTGGATCCTCCTGACTCCGGGGTTCATGGCACCTGCCTGGCACCTACATACTGGGTCCGGAGACGGTCCAGCGCTGGGCGGCCACGAAAACAGGGCTTCTCTGGACCTGTTGGCAGGACAGTCACCTCTCCCATTCTGCCGGTCATGGCCTCCACGCAGCAGAGCTGTGGT